AAACTAGGAAAAATATTTTCCTAATTTTACTCTCACTGATATGAAAAAAATTCTTTCTATTTTACATTGCTTTGTCCCAGAAAGGGATGACATTGAAGGTGACACTGGAAGTGGCAAAAAGAGGAATTGTCTCATGAATGAGACTATTCTCTGGCCTAAAGAAGGCCCTCTTTCTTAAGTGCACTCTGACATGTCCCACTACTTTTCAGGGTTCCACTACTTTCAGGGATGTACTGTGGTCCCAAATCTGTGATGAAGGACAGATGTGAGAACTAGGTGGACTGTAGAAAAATCATCCCCTTAAATCACAACATTGCATTCTTCTCTCAAGTGCCTGAAATCATTTATTAAGGAAAGACAATATATATGATATTAAGGGAACATAATGTATTACTATAGAGCAGCAACGGAAGCTTCTTCCTTGGGAATAGATACTTTAAAAAATCAGGACAGAAGCCAGAAGACAAATATACTCAGTGGACTCCCAGTTTTGAGCATGTACGCTACATTCAGGAATGATGTAAGACCAGGAGAAGGAATCGCTGGACTGATTTTTTACAGGAGGAAGGGTAGAAAAGAATGGGTCAAATCCATACCATTGTTATGTTGAAACAATGGTTTTTTTCCTCCACTGTGTTTTAGGGAAGATCTGCGCAGAACCATGACTACAGGAACAGATACAAGAGAAGGACTTGCCAGCTTGTGGCTTCTAGCAGATGCTACAGTTAATTTTTCATCACACTTCAGCTACAGTGTCACTATAGTGAAAGTGAAGTAACTGTGGTTACTTCAACCACGGTAACTACTATGTAATACCAACTATATAGTTAATACAGTCTATTAATTGTAGACTAAAATGACTGTTTTACAGTCATACTACACTGCTGTGGTCAGTCACTGATTGTTAAAGTGACACTAGAAAGTAATTCTCATGTTTCTTAATGTGCTAGGTATAAAAACAATACTTTGCACCATTAGCGTTCACTCACTCTAACTCGTTTCCACACAGTTTAAATATCTTGCAGTACATAAAGCAGGTATCAGATTTTCTAGAATGATCAATTCCTATTCATTGCTTTGCTTCATTTGTTATTTGCACATAAGTAATCCCTTGCTGCTGAAAAAAAGCTGAACCGAAGGCTTGAAATTGCTGGAAAGGAAATGTCAAGTTGCTCTTTGTGATACAATATACATGCTGTATTCAGTAATAATTCACAAAATTAATTTAAAAATTCTTTTATATTATAGAAATAAGGTTATACATTTTAAATAGAGGTCACTAACTTTACAAGTATCTCTATTTTCATTTTTTATAGTTTAAATCTGGCACGATATCCCAGCTACTGTGACCTTTTAAAAGGTAGACCTTGTTACCTGGGATTTTTGGAGGAGCTTTTAAAATATTGCTCTTTTAGGCATTAGAGATTAAATTATTTAAACCCCCAGAGGAAACAGGGTACTGTTTGCATATCTGAATTGATTTTTGCTCTGTTCAGAGCCTATTATGAACAGGAAGGAAAGGTTGGAACTAGATGATCTTAAGGTCCTTTCCAACCTTAACTACCCTATGATTCTGTGGTCCTATATATACATGAAATAGAACAAGTCAAAAGTGCGTAGCATGATGGGACAGGAACAAAATAGTTTACTGGGCTGAATCCCATAAAGCAGGGTCTCATACGTTAACCCATCAAAGTACCTGACAGGTACTTATAACCTCAAGGGCTTAAACTATTTCTCTGAAGTTAATGGAAGTGCTTTGTTGGATCTCAGCCAGGTTGCTCAGCTTCTTCTGTGATTATGCTCTGACACACCATCAACAAATTTTTCCCTAAGCACGAAAGCCATAACTGCACCCGAATGACATGGGTGTAGAGTGCAGGTTAAAAAATAGCAGATGGAAAAATAGATTCACTAGGTAACTGCCCCCTTTTTCAACAAGGTATACATAAACCCAGTTGAAGCTATTGAAAAACTTCTTACAGCAACAAAGGATCATTTAGACCTCTCGGAAAACATTAAATAAAGCCATTAATGAACATTTTTAATAGGTATGTAAGGGCCTGACCTCCCAGGAATAAAATATAGTAAATGGAAGTACACAGAAGTGTATCATTGCTTAGGGGTAAATCTATAAGCTTGTTTCTGGATAAACAAAAAGGAAGAGATTGGTCAAGTGGCAAAAGATAAAACTCATCTTCAACAGAGCCATGCTCGCACATGGCTGAGGTTGCCTTGCACTGAGAAACCAAAGAAATATCTGCTAACATATATAAAACTTCCTGGAAATAGAAATATGAAAAATTTCAATTTTGGAAAAAGCTATGAAAAAGATCATTAAACTTCTGCCTTTATGTTAACATTATTAAAATAATACATGTATTTATTAAGAAACATATAGCAATGCATTCTGCATTCTACAAATCACCATCTAGTGCACAGTCTAGGGCATCCAGTCTTGCACACATATGCTGCCGTGACTATTGAACACATCCAGCTTTCATAACTTCACTGGCTTTCACTGCGTCAGGTCAGGAATGTATTTAACCCCTGCACTTACAGAGGAAGTGAACACATTGAAAACTTGGCTTAATTAAGCTTCATCAACAATATATGACAAATGAAGGCAGAGCTATTTTAGGTGGAAATTGTGCTGTCAGAAGAAAACATAGGTCAGTAAGTAAGCATTTGTTTTATAAAAGGCAAAAATGCATTGAGAAAAAGTAACCTTAAATAGAAGAAAGACAGCTGGGAAAACATGTCCATAGCGTAAGAACCCAATCCTAAAGCAGCCAATCTCAAATTAATAAAAGAGGTTGCACTCTGAAACCAAACCTTCAGATTTAATGAATTTGAGCTTTCTACTTCAAAAGTTATCTTGTAGGATATGTCTTTTTCTTTCAAGTCTTATTCAAATCAGAAGTATTGCATCATGTGGTATACAACTGGTATTTTAACACAACTAAATACATAAAGCAGTAAGCCAAATAAAGTGGCATTAGCTCTATTAATACACACTCTTCCTCCTCTTACACTTCTTATTTTAAATAGAGCATATGTTTCTAAAGGGGCCTGGCACCATATGTCTAAAGACAGATTTTTCCTGCCTTATTCATGGAGTAAGAATATCCCTTAGCAAAGCAGAGGGAAGATTTCTGAGGTCATTAACATCTCTAAATAGTGAAAAGTTCAAAAACATGTCACGATGCATTAAAAAAAAAGAAAAAGAAGAAAGATGTCTCTATGGGAAAATTTGCATGTGATATAAAGTGCCAGAAAGCAACATAATGCTATCTCTTCACACCTGCTATTTTATTTCTATACTGAGACCACCAGACTTTCAAGGGTACAGAGTACCTTTTACTGTCTGAATTTCCACAGAAATAGATACTGCCTAGGCAGGCCCATAAGTTTTTTATCATACTTGCCCAAATTACCAAACCATTAAGTCAAACAGAACATACTATTATAGAAATATTTCTTCTACAGAAGAAATCTCAGTGTCTGGAAATTCAAGTAGGCATGACTCTGATTGACATGAATTGCTATTAATATTGCTAATACAATCATTTCCTATTTCTAAACTGACTGAGTTTTCCTTTTACATTTCATTTTACATTTCCTTTTACATTTATTTTACATTTTACATTTACATTTCCTTTACGTTTTTACATGTAAAAGAGGGCTAAAAAAAAAAAAAAAAAGAAAAAACAATGTTTTGAGCATATTTTAAATATTGATTGTCAGGAAACAGCTTTCAGAGTATTAAATGCTTGATTGAAAGGGTAATTCTAAGAGAATTAATAGTTTGATAAAAGCCACTTAATTATCACTTAGGGACATAAAAGGTTTGAATCAGGCTCTCCATGGTACTTTCTAGGTAACTGAAATGTTCTTGCCAAATCATTTACTTAAGTAATCACAGTAATTACCAATGATTAATGAAAAATAATATTCTTGTTGGCAAAAATTGTCATGGTTTCTTGTTTCTTCTTTTCTAAACAAAAAAAATCCAAAACAAACAAAACCAAAACAAATCCAAAAAAAAGCCCCCCAAACCCTTTTTTAAATCTGCTTATCCACTTTGCATTTATAAAATAAATAATTATTGAGGTAAAATTGCAGTAATTTGTTTCAAAGCTATCTGTTGTCAAATTGCTAAAATTAGGCTAGAAAAGAAAAATGAAACCAGGTAAAAACATACCTTAAGGAGAAGCTCAAAACTTCTACAGCAATGGGCTTTCCTTTTCTTCTTCTAAAACTACCTTAAAATCAGCATCCCTCAAGCTTACTTCTCATCTTTTGGGAATATTCCTCAAAATCTGCAGAGCCTCAGGAAACTTCTACAGCAAAATCCAAACTAGCTGTTATTAGGTAAAACTTGACACTGCCTCATCCTCTCCAGATACCAGAGGCAAAAAGAAACAATTAAAAAAAATCAGATTAATAATAAATGTAGGAGAAGCAAGAGAGCAGTGTGAGAAGGGCAGGAAATTTGGTAGATGCTTTGCCTGAAACCAGAAACATTGCTATAGCACCATTATGCTCTCCTGCAGGCAGTGAATATCTTTTGGTTTAAGTTGCTTTTTCTTTTTTCCAGACTTTTCAGCATTCTTCAGTGGAATTCAACTTGCACAGGAAAAGACTTTCCTTGCAAATTCCACCTGTAGGTTAAATGTAGAGCTTATAGGACTAGAGTTTCATTACAGAACTGACAAGACTAGCTGTCTCACAGGTGAACCACTGAATCCAGGGCAAAACATGTTGCTTTCATCCATGTTCCTGACCATCAAAAGGCTTAAGCTGGAATGTAGGCAAGAGGGAGCTTTGAAATTTATTAACGTAAAAAGAGAAAAGAGCAGCTCCAGGAAAGTCTGTCACATCTAGCTAAAAAGATGTCTTTAAGTATTGTCTTCCATTAAGGAATAGTTTTATATTTAGAAATAAACCAATTAGAATCACATACACCATTTTGTAGAACACAGATGGTAAACTCTTACCTCCTTCTTGGTAAATTCTGGTGCATGATCATTTTTATCATCAATAACAATAGTGGCAGTTGCTGTACCAGACAGTCCCACATCATGGCCACCCAAATCCTTAGCTTCAATAACTAGTTCATATTGTGGAGTTTCCATTGTCTGAAAAAGAACCAAACCAAACCAACCAAACAGACAAACACAAAAAAAGAAAGGTTAAAAAACTCAACCCACAGCAGATTACAATCTACTTTTAAATAATAAATACATTAAAATAATAAATAAATATTCTAAAACTTAATTTTACATGCTCAAACATAGCATAGAAAGAGATCATGGTTATCACAGTGTTTTACCAAATCAGAAACACAGCTTTCTATGGGCTTCAGCTGACACAATGGAAACCTTAGCTGGAATACAGTATGAAGGTATACTATAATACTGGTAAACAGTACATAATCTATCCTGTTATTTAAGGAGATTATGAAAGAGGAAAGAAATTAATATATACCTGCACTTAAAGTAAACTTACACTTCCGTGCACCAAAATTTAGCAGCTTGCTTCTTCAGTGTTAGGATAAGTATACAGTTAAATACTAATGTCACAATCTACATATACATTCACTTGATTTTATTAAATCACATTAATTCTGTTTACTAGCATTTAGAATGGTAATCTAAGTTTGCTTCACTGTAAGAAACAAGAAAGCAGTTTCTAAAATGGGTAGACTGCCTGTTATTGTACAAAGCAAATATGTGTAATAAAAGTAATGATTTACATCTATGATATCCAATTCCTATGGCATGGTTACTTATCTAACTGCCTACCTAATGTAGAACCACAAAGCACAGGTCCATTGTAAAAGCTATACTTAATTTCCCTCCACTGAAAGACACCTAAAACTCGGAAAAAAACAATTGTGGCTACTGTTCTGCAAAGGGAATGTGACAGCATTTCTTATTCACCTCTTGCATCAGGCATGAAAGCACATCTGTTTGCAAGCTGGACAACGGGTTAGTAATACATCCCATCAAAGGGAGCTGTGATCAGAATCAGAACCTGCTCCTACGGAACTCAGAGAGAATTTTGACATGGATTTCACTGGAGACAAGACTGGGCAATTAATTAAAATGAATATTGTCACCACTTGTATGGCTGCCTTGTAAGGAACCATCTGCCCAAAGGCCATATATGCTGCATCATCAGTGGAGGACACAGGTAAGAAAGTGCTGCAGACACCTTTAAAATTATATGGTAAGAATGTCAGGTGTGCTCAGGAATGTTTTTTCAAACACTTAAAAATTAAGCCTGGATCACAGGGGCAAAGCGACATAGTGATGCCTGAAAGGGTGGTTAGGGCACCACTGCTAGAGGGCTAATTGAACCTCAGACCGGCTAACTGCGCTTATAAGAACCAAGGTTACACATCTTAGACATCACACATTCTCTGTCCTTTATCTAATGCTTTTCCAGAGAATACACATGCAGCAACAAAACTGGTGTGAAACTCCATATATCAGCACAATGATCTCTGTCTACCACCCATAGATAAAGCAGAATCAAGGAAGCTGAAGTAGGGCTTATCCTAGCAGAGAACATAGAATGTTTTGGGTTGGAAGGGACCTTTAAATGTGATCTAGCTGACCCTGCCCTGCAATGAGCAGTGACATCTTCAACTATACCAGGTTGTTCAGAGCTCCATCCAACTTGACCTTGAATGTTCCTTTGGATGACTTATTTACCAACTCTCTGGGCAACCTGTTCCACTGTCTCACCACTCTTATCATAAAAAAATTTCCTCCTTATACCTAGTCTGAACCTACCCTGTTTTACTTGAAAACCATTACTCTTTGCCCGACCACAAGAGGCTCTATTAAACAATCTGTCCCCATCTAAAGTCTCCTCCAAGTACTGAAAAGCCACAATAAGTCTTCCTGGAGCCTTCTCTGTGCTGAACAGCCCCAGCTCTCTCAGCCTTTTCTTATAGGAGAGGTGCTTCAGCCCTCTGACCACTTCTGTGGCCTTCCTCAGGACTCGCTTGAACAGGTCCAGAGGAGCACATATGGTAAGGAGATCCCAATTCCGTAGTACTTGGTTCCTGAAGCAGTTTCAGGCCACGAGAGAAGCAACCGTGTAACACGTTCGTCAGATCACCTACTTCAAAGTTATTCATTTGAATGTATAATCCACGAGTCAAGCCAGAAGATATACTTAGTTCTAAAAACATATGGACTACTAGAAAATCAGGCACCATTGCCACATAGGGGATCCTAAGAAATGGATTTTATTAAGTTTTACAGCATTATTCTATGAAATTAATCTCAGAAGGCAGCAAATCACAAACAGGATTTTGATTTATAGCATCATAAATATACACAAAGAAATATTACTGACATGTCTCAGACACAAATTGAGATGACAGAGTAGAACAAAATTTACAGTTTTTATACATCTATTTTCTAAAATGTATTCAATGTATTAAAACCTGAATGGAGCTTTTCCCCCCTCCCCTAGGAGCAGCTTTTTCATTATTTTGATTAAAAATTCATTATTATTGTATGGAAAACTTGCAAAGCCATTTATCACTTCATGTTTATAAGCCTCTTTGCTCAGAAAGAAGCCCATTTTTATTCACAAATTGGCCTTTTTTCCTTTAAAAACTGTCCCATTTTCTATTGAAAGCAAGTCCATTTATGCTAGAAATTGTCTACTGCAGCAGAAATTTCTGTGACAGGAGTCCAATGTTTAAGCTCACAACAGAATGTGAAAAACATTGAATTTTGAGTAGTATTTCATATCATTATAAATACTTCACACTTTCCTGCGAAGCAACACTTTCTACATCTAGTTCTGTCACCAAATATTTGCTTTGTTAGAGAAAGCAGCTCCTAACAGATCCAAACCCGGAGCAAAGGAGTGTTCCCATCAGATACTGTTTTCACTAGGAGATTGGGCAGAAGGTTTTTTAGCATTTCTCATATGTTAGCCCAGTTAATTCAGGCACTAGCAGCAATTTGGGTCTGTGTCATTTATCACACTACTGGTAAATCCTGGGGCACGAGAGTGGAGATCTGTGGATAGAGTAGTTCCCTTACTAACTGCCTTCCTTCACCTTCCCCATCCGTGCTACACTGTGTGGGTAAGGGATACGTATGCAAATATATATACATATTTACACATATGTATAAATATGTACACATGTATATATTGAGCAGAACTCACTACCAGTAGCATTTTGGGACCCCACAATTGCTCTGAATGTTGTCCCACCATCATATTGCCTGTCACTAAAACCAGGCCTCCTGCTTCTCAAAGCTGTGACCTACCGCCTCTTGCAAAACCAATCTGATTACTGCCATTCAGATAGTGAGATGCTAGCAACATAAACCTGCAACAACCCTCAACAAAAAACGGATAATACATAACATAAAATGGATAATACATGATTTTAATAAAGGAACATTAAGTCACTGCTTCTGTGGCTTATTATTTATCAACTGTGACTCTGTGGAGTGAAACACTGTTGAGAGGGTTTGTATAATTACAGCAGGAGAACCATTCCTGTCCCCATAAATTTTCACTCCAGTCATTTAGCCACTGCAGGGGTGACACTGGCAAATTGTTTGGTTTGCCAAGGAGGTGAGCTGTGCCTTAAGTGTTTCCCTTGAAGGACTTCCCACTGCCATTCTCACCAGTGTTAGCATTCTTATCAGATTTCTCTCCCCTGCTGCCTTGACATAACTGGTGCAGCACTAGTAAAGCAATGAGAAGCCAGAAAGGCACTTTTTCAGATCCCTGACAAAGCCAGCAGGATCTAATCACAACAAAGGGAAATAAACAGTTCAGTGCAGCTACACACAGGTGGAACAAACAAAGTGACTACTTTCAGGTAGTGCTGAATTAAACCAGATAATGATGGACTCCAGAAACAATCTCTCCAGTGTTTCCTCCTGGCTGGGTGTCCCCATGAAGTGCCTATAGCTACAGCTTCATCCACTGGTCTACAGTTACTGTAAAAAACCTATGAACTGCACATCCAGAAAAACAATGGATGTGCAGTTCCATTTGCACATCCATTAGCATCAGCACACCCAAGCCTTCATTTGACACTTCAGTGCTTCATCTAAAACTAACCGAGGGGAACAGGGATTCCCAACTTTACATTAGGTACTCTGTTGCTAAGATCAAAGCAAACAGTAGGTGGGAAGCAAACACTACATAGAATGTTCAAACCTCTTGTAAGGATTTGAAGTATCCTTTTAGGCTATTTTTATACTTAGTACCAGTAGAGAGGGGGTTTACTATTTTGTGGATATTATTATTTTCTGCAACAATGCAACTATGCCTCAACAGTTCTATTTATAATTCTTTTTATAAACTATGTATGCATGCATAATACCATATCAGTAGTGTTCTATCATATCATAGCTGTTACTAATGTCTTCATAATACCAACCAGACAAAAAAATTCTTAGGATTAAATAATTTCAGTTGAGGCTAAATAAATGGTTGTGTTCACTTAAGATGATAATCGCATATATTATCTACTGAATATCTCGTATTTAGACATAATAAATGTTCTTGTTGAGCAACACTATCAACATTGAATCTACTATTGTAGAGTATGCTCTCAGGATTTTGACAAATATAGAATAAAAAAAAATGAAGCAACGTGGCTATTAGCAGTTCTAACAGACATAACGCTTTTATAATTGTAATATCAGCATGTATTTTACATGCTAATTGTTGCACTATAAAAAGGGTAATATACACAGAAGCTTTAAATTCAGAGTTTGAATTACAGTTTGATGAATATAAAAGCCCAAACAATTTTGTAATGTAAATCCTCTTTAGATTACCAATTTCCATTTTTTTATATCACAAAGGAAGGTCTAAATTTTAATCAGTGCAATAATGTAAGTCTGTTATGAAGAAAATCAATACCTATTTACTACCCATAGGAGACATATAGTTCATAGGTATATCTGGAATTCAAAGGAAGACTAAACTTCTCCTTTAGACGCTGCTGTTAAAAAAGGAAATAAACTGCTCCAAAGTGCTAAATATAAATAGCTTCCCTGACCAGAAATATCTGTTTTCCATCAAGAGGAAATCTGTTACTTTTTAATGCATATGATGTGTAGGATCAACACTTTTAATT